ACCAACCCACCTACCAACCCACCTACCAACCCACCTACCAACCCACTCATTTACCAACTCACCAAACTAACCTTACTCACCAACCAAACCATCCACCAACCCATCAACCCACCCAACCAACGAACCAACTTAATGTCCAAGGCAATAAATGCACCCTTCTTGAAATTGTCTTGGATGCGAGGTTAACATGGTAATACGAAAGAAATGCCACAAATTCCATCGAGAAAAAGTGTGATTTCTTTTGTATTTTCATGTTAGCCTCTATTCCACGATACTTTTGAGAAAGGTCATCAACAATAACAATAACTCAATTATCATTGGCAGATTTACAAAGAACCTGCTTTTGGTCGTCTGAATTACAACTTATCTCTACTGGACGGATACACGCCATCTATTTTTACCAACGGCGTAGAACACGAGAAGCAGAAAGCTTTTCTCATGAAGATATGTAAGATCGCGCAGGAAGCGGACATATTGAAAACTACCAAAAACGTTGTACCGACGTACCTTGAACGCTGGCATAAAGCAGGTAATAGGAAAGGTGATATTATACGACCATCGCTCCTCGTAAAGGTATGGGGGCTCTAATTCGGTGTGGTTTCGACTCCACATGCGATACCAGTCTTCTAGTATAGCGCGCTGGCTCCATACAGCGCGAGCGATTCGTAATTTGTTTGTGTGTCCTCTTATTTTCCACGGCTCTGGACCATCAGAAAAGCGCGAAAATTTACATTTGTGTTAAAAATTGTTTTTTAGATGCGAAAACAAAAGCCAACTGGGAAGCAGAGATTATGGCCATGACAAGTGATATCTTTACCGAAGCATTTCTTGGGATACGTGTTGACCCAGACGATATGCAGGGAATGCTGAAAGGCTCTTGGACAAAAAGCAAGTAAGTAAGGGTGTGTGTGTGTGCAATACTAGTATAATAAAACTGTCATAAAACTCGCGTTCTGATTGGTTGGGAGCGCCTGCATTATGTGAGCACACAGCACACGCGCGTACTTTCTATTTAGTCATTCCTTTTCAAAATATTGGCTAYTCTGATATCTATTTTATGAAAGAAATAAAAAAATAGACCTTTCACGAATTCGCTTGCGTGACCACGAGACAATGGATCCAAATCGAGGATGGTTTTGATTTGTTTATTCATTTACTGTATTTTATCAGGTCGAACAACAAATGGAGCCTTTGTTTCGTTGTCACTCGAGCGAATTTGGAAAATGGGTATTGCTGTATATGTGAAGTCATAAAAGCACTCAGCTACGCGTTGAGCTTCTCCTAACACTTTTCTTGTGTTCTGCCAAAAGAAGTCCTCGGCTCGGGCGTAATGTTTTCCCATTTCAGACCATGTCTCATTCCCTAGAGTATTATTTCTTTGTTCAACGGTTGCACATGAGAAGACACATAGATATGGATACAACTCAAACAAAGAATATTATTTTCTAGAGAATGGCACGTGTTCTGAAATGGAAAAACATTACGCCAGAGCCGAGGAGGTCTATCTCTTTGTAGTGAAGTCACGCCGCTTGATCCCAAGGGATCGTTTTCGTTAGCGTCCAGTCGTTTTCTAACTGCGCTAAAAAGAATGATCTTTTATCATCTTTTTGGTTGTTAGACGCACATTAAAAAGAAGTTTGGAATGTGCCAAKAAAATCAAGGAAAAGTTCAGGGAGTGTCCTAAATTATGCAGTATACTTGAGCTGGCAAAAGAAATGGGGCTGTCAGATGAACAAGCTATTATGGATATTCTTTTTATGCTCAAGTGAGTAGCGATAACTTGTATTCTTATAGCAGGTTTCATTTTTCTTCAGCCATTGCACAATAGCAGCGCAAAGCCAACCCTCTATAGGGCTTTTAAGTTTTGACGTATTTCCGGGTCCAATCACACAAAAAGATCGCTAAAATCTTGCCACAACTCTTCCTTTACAATGAGATATATGAACAGAAAATCCTGCTGTGAAGAAAAAAAAAAGAAAAATGTCTGTAGAAGTAATTATTAATTTGGATCAGAAAGTCGTTTTTCGTTTGAATTACGTCACATTTAATAGCTGTATACTCCAGTTTCGATTGATGAAAGCCAAACAAAAACAAAAAAAAAAACAAAAAAAAACAGACGTCTTGGGCTGTTAGGTTTCCTGCCAAGGTCTAGTTTAGACGTCGTACTTTTGCCGCGTCGAATCTAATTGCCTTTGAGGTCGACTGAACGTCGCATTTATTCTGTCGTTCGCAATGAATTCTACGCCATCTTGCTTCAAGAAGATGCATCTGTTCATGTCTTTCATCCTTAGTCGCTGCATTGCGTTGCATTTGATGCGATGGAAGCTCGACGTTTCAGTAAATCAACTGACCGGTCTTTGTTCGCTATCAATTCTCTGGTGCATTTGATCAAATCCGTGGTCGAATTCAATTGGTTTAGACGTCGCACTTGTCATGTACGAGAAATGCAGCTATTAGATTCGACACGCGCGTAATAATAGAAATAATTAGCCAATCACTCAATAAACTCAATATTATCTATTGTTTAATGTTGCAGCTTCAACGCGTATGGAGGAATAAGCGGTGCATTGCGATCAAGCATTGCTTGGCTTTATAATCTAGATCCACGCGTCAGACAGGAACTTGAACAAGAAATACTCGAGAATATTGACAAAGAYGACGGGATTACTGAAGAAGCCCTCAAGAAAATGAATTTAATGGACAGATATTTACTCGAGGTATTGGGCTTTTTCCTGGTGAAGTCACTAAGCTATGCTCTTAGATTTAATTGAACCCTAAAACTACCTCCATGCTGATCTAAGTCAGGGCGTGACTAACTCACAGATCGAATCCTGAAACAACCTCTGGGCTGATCTAAGTCAGGGCGTGACTAACTCACAGATCGAACCCTGAAACAACCTCTGGGCTGATCTAAGTCAGGGCGTGACTAACTCACAGATCGAACCCTGAAACAAGCTCTGGGCTGATCTAAGTCAGGGTATGGCTAACTCACAGATCGAACCCTGAAACAACCTCTTGGCTGATATAAGTCAGGGCATTACTAACTCGCACAGGTCGAATAAGTATTTAGCATGTTTTGCGGAGAGAGAAACCCGGAAAACCCGGAGAAAAACTCTCGAATCACGTCGGGATCCAGTAATCACATCCTAGACCTCAAAGGTGCGAGACAAGTGTACTGTACAGCTATACTTGACTCTTGTGCCGCTTTATTTTTCTTAGGTGTTTCGTATGTCTCCTCCAGTACCTGTTATCTTCGGGAGAGCGAGGTATGAAACAAGACTAGAGACTATGGTTTAAACATGATATAGAGGGGTTTGACGGCAGCCATGTTGTAGGGCAGAACATAATGAATGTCAAGAGGGCTGGCCTGAAATCCTTCTATGTAGCATTTTGCTTGAAGAAGGCATGACTCTGACCGTCTTTGGCCCAAGGATTTAATTTTTTATCGTTTTTTATTTGTTTTATTTGATATTACTGTAAAACTGCAAGGTAGCAGTAGAAATTGACCAATCACAGCGCAGTTCACTGAACAGCCAATGAAAATGCTCAGGCAAGCTACTGTCACGGTCACGGCAGTGTCACGCTACTGTTACGGTCACGGCACGGCACGGAACATGCATATTTCTTTGTATTACCTTCCTCTTTTCCTTTTTCTTCTTTTTCCTTCTTTTTTTNACTAACTCGCACAGGTCGAATAAGTATTTAGCATGTTTTGCGGAGAGAGAAACCCGGAAAACCCGGAGAAAAACTCTCGAATCACGTCGGGATCCAGTAATCACATCCTAGACCTCAAAGGTGCGAGACAAGTGTACTGTACAGCTATACTTGACTCTTGTGCCGCTTTATTTTTCTTAGGTGTTTCGTATGTCTCCTCCAGTACCTGTTATCTTCGGGAGAGCGAGGTATGAAACAAGACTAGAGACTATGGTTTAAACATGATATAGAGGGGTTTGACGGCAGCCATGTTGTAGGGCAGAACATAATGAATTTCTTCCAAGAAGGCTGGCCTGAAATCCTTCTATGAAGCATTTTACTTGAAGAAGGCATGACTCTGACCGTCTTTGGCCCAAGGATTTAATTTTTTTATCGTTTTTTATTTGTTTTATTTGATATTACTGTAAAACTGCAAGGTAGCAGTAGAAATTGACCAATCACAGCGCAGTTCACTGAACAGCCAATGAAAATGCTCAGGCAAGCTACTGTCACGGTCACGGCAGTGTCACGCTACTGTTACGGTCACGGCACGGCACGGAACATGCATATTTCTTTGTATTACCTTCCTCTTTTCCTTTTTCTTCTTTTTCCTTCTTTTTTTTATTTTTTATCTTTTTTATTTTTTCTTATTATATATTATTGATATATTTCTTTATCACAGAAAAGATTTCCTGATGGATTCGGGTTCTGGAAGCGTACAAGTCAAAACCGGTGAGCTCCTGATTGGGAACTGTTATCTCGTTCATAGAGACCCTTCTGTTTTCCACAAGCCAGATGAATTCATGCCATCGAGATTTGAAGATGAGGTGAGGTGGAGCATGAGTAGATGTCTTGAAAATTAACGAACGAACGAACGAACGAACGAACGAACGAACGAACGAACGAACGAACGAACGAACGAACGAACGAGCGAGCGAGCGAACGAAAGAACGAATGAATGAATGGTTCTCAGTTTCCTTGATATACGTTTTCATGCAGGGTTCGGTGGACAACCAAAAAGTATAATAATGACACCATTTATTGATTAATATTATCACTTTCAAGATTTTTCTTTCACTTTAGCATGCGTGTGTTTGGCGGGAAGCGCGCGGGATAAAATACGTCACATGACAAGAACAGAACTAAGTCCAAAACGAAAAGTTTTCAAATAACGTGTTTGTTTCTTCAAGTTTTTAAAATAAAATTGAAGACTAGTATACTGGACGTTTCGACGCCCTCCGGCGTCATTTTCAAGAGTGAAAGAAAGTAAAGCAAAGCAATAATAAAGTTCTGTAAATTCTATACGAGGACTCCCATGAGGATTTACAAAACTTTATGTATTCAAATTATTATTTTGCTTTACTTTCACTCTTGAAAATGACGCCGGTCGAGGGCGTCGAAACGTAGAGTATGCTAGTCTTCAATTTTATTTTAAGAAAAGTTTTCCTTTCGATAAATGAAGCAAACCGTATACATTCATTCTAACATTTTCTTTTGACAACAGAGTCTTCTTGACCACATAGTGTTTTCTAATGGTCCGTATCGTGAGGCAGCCACACCTAAGAACCATCACTGTCCAGGCAAGGTAATGTAACRAGCACATTACCAGGAAACGCAAAGAAGGGGGCGACTTGGAGGTTTAGGATCATTAGTTTTCAAGTCTCATCCGTTTGCTAGTCTATGAACTTTTCTCATCCCGTTCCCCGTCCCGTCCCGTCCCGTCCCGTCCCGTCCATTCCCCCTCCACTTTCAAGGGGATTTCACTGTCCTTGAACTTTTGTGGATTCTTAAGCATCATTTACACTAGCGATTTTTTGCGGCGATTTTTGCGGCGATTTTTTTACGATTTTGTCCATAATAAATAATGGTAAAGAATTTACTTGTAAAGTTTTTTTCGGGATAAGATTTTCCTAGACGAATATCTCTTTTGAAGGATGAGACAAAAGATTTCATATTTCCGAAAATTGCCAAAAAATTGCAGCAAAAATCGCCGCAAAAATCGCCAGTGTAAACGGGGCTTTACGTGCATTCATTATGTATACTAACTGGGGGTGGGGTGCGGAACATATGAAATTCAGAGGTGGTCTGAAACTTATATGTGTGTTCATTGGGGGGATGGCTCTCAAAATGTCTTCAGAGAATGATGAGGCCCGAGGGAGACCAGTTGACACCTTAGCATTTTAGAAAGTGTTGAATATTATCACCCACCCCGTCCTTGTGATTCCAGGAGATTATCTTCATGATTCTGAAAAGTGTATTGATCCAAGTCATGATGTGTTGTGATTATACCTTTACGGAAAGACCTTACTGGACAGAGAAAAGGTAGGTAACCATCAATTCTATTTGCACCCAAAAACATTCTCTGGGCAAGACACTAGAGAAAAACGTTTGCGCATGCTTGCAGTTCAGCACGTTTTCTAAGAATTTTGAAGAGTTTGAGTGAGAAAATAAATATTTGTTTTCTCCAAGTATACAAAAAAGTTCAAGAACAGGGCCGTAACCAGGGGGAAGCACAGGGTACACGTGCATGTCCCTTCCTTCCTTCCTTCCTTTCTACCTTTTCTTTTTTTCTTCTTCTATTCGTCCTTCCTTCCTTCATTTATTTGTTTCTTTCTTTGAAGACATTCTTTTCTCACTAAAATCCTATTGAATAGAAAGATAAAACAAATTTTGTTTGGAGATACATAAATATATTTGTTCATCTTTCATTGATCTTCATCACCAGATTAAGAAGACTTGGTTGCCCCGACAACAACATGGAATTAAGTAGTTTTACATACACACCGGTAAGAAATGCATTGGTAATAAAGTGTCAGTGTGTGTGTGTTTGGGCTGGGGGTGMATAGATTGGAAAATAAGAAATAACATATCAAGCATGGAAAAGAGTGTTTCACCATGACATTCTATCAGGAATGGAGGAGCAGTTTTTTGATTGGGAGGGCTCAATAGTGACATCGTATGGCAAGGTGGGGG